AGAGGTCATGCCATGCCTGTAGGATTGGGATGTTGATCGTTGTCTAAAACATTGCTAACGTGTCTGGAACTTTTTTCTGTGAGGAATGTATTTGTATGGGTCAGCATAGAGAGAATCTGGGTCTTTATGTAGTTCAGTAGCATATAGGAGAACTTGACAATGATCTGGTTTGCTGATTGCAGTCCATAGTGAAAGCAGGGACTCTCTGCTATGGCCTGCGAAAGCAGTAGAAGATGGCCCAAGTGCTCGGACCCTTGCACCCACGTGGGAGACCCAGAAGAAGCTCCTGGCTCCTAGCTGCAGATCAACATAGCTCCAGCCGTTGCAGCCATATGGGGAGTGAACCAGCGGATGGAAGACCTTTCTCTCTCTGCCTCTGCTCTTCTGTAAATCTGCCTTTCAAATCTTTTATTTTACTTGAAAGTCAAAGTTACACAGAGAGAGAGGGAGAGAGGTCTTCCATCTGATGGTTCACTCCCCAATTGGCTGCAATGGCCAGAGCTGTACCGATCTGAAGCCAGGAGCCAGGAGCTTCCTCTGGGTCTCCCACGCGGGTGCAGGGGCCCAAGGACTTGAGCCATCTTCTATTGCTTTCCCAGGCCACAGCAGAGAGCTGGACAGGAAGTGGAGCGTCCAGGTCTCCAACCGGTGTCCATATGGGATGCCGGCGCTTCAGGTCGGGATATTTACCTGCTGCACCACAGCGCTGGCCCATGAATAAATAAATCTTAAAAGAAAAAAAAATTTAAAAAGATATAGGATGTTTCAAAGTTGAGGACGTTTGTTCAGGAAAATCATACAGACCATATAGAAAAGCTCATATTTAAATTAAAGAATATTGGAGAAATACTATAACAATAAATTATCTGTCTGAAATGTAAAAATGCAGTTCCTACTACACATTGACTGATTTTTGCTTTCTTTTGGATTTGTCATTTGAATTTCAGGTTTGCATCGCCAGCTTTTATATGTTACTTCCTTTGTTTTTGCTGGCTATTATCTTTTAAAACGTCAAGATTATATGTATGCTGTGAGGGACCATGACATGTTTGGGTATATGAATTCACATCCAGAGGATTTTCCTGAAAAAGGTAATTTAAGTCATTGTAGAAACCCTCTGTCCTCACTGTACCGTTTTCCCTGGTTAATCTTGCTTATGCCAATGGCTTCAGGAACTTTGTATATTCTGTTGATTCCCACATTTTTGTCTGTGGACCAGAATCCTGTTGAATCCTGTATATGATTTATGACATTATCTGTGCCCCTTGGACATGAAACAAGCTCTTGTCCCCTCAGCCTTCCTGTCCCTCCTGCTCTTCTGCGTCCTGCTTCCCCCAGACCCTCAAGCAGAAGCTCGAGTGTCTCTTTAAGTCTTTCCTCTTCACTCTCCATTAGTCATCAAGTCTTAGAAACTTTTCTTCCTAATTATTTCTCAACTTTGAAGTCTCCTATCTCTCCCACTGTTGCTACTGTGATTCAGACATAATCTGTCTCTTGGTTGGACTGTTGCACTTACCTGTAGCTCAGCTCTGCCTTCAGTCTTACTTCTTCTGCAGACAGCAAATCTGCTGACATCTTTTTGGTGAAAATAGGTATCCAGTGTCTGTAGGATATGTGTCAGGAATAGGGAATACTCAGAACCGTTGGAGTCTTGAGAATACGTGAGACCCAGTGGCTGAGCAGTCCTCCTCCCGTCTGGCTTTTTCTGAGAGAGATCTCCACTGGTCCCCTCAGTCAGCAGGAGTGTGTGTAGCCACAGGGCTCATTCTATTTCTGAGCAGCAGGGTACTGGCAGGTGTGCCAGGAGCCTCTGAAACTGCCCCTGGGGGCATGGAGAGCTTGACCAAGTCAGTCTCTGGCCTCTTCTAGCTGACCTTCACCCTTCCCTACCTATTTCTTATTTCTTCCTTCACCACTTTAGCCAGGATACCCCTAGCGGCACCTTGCCCCCCCGACAGCCGTGTGGACATCACCACAGATTCCTCCAGAGTTACTCTTCATTCAGTGAAACAGACTGTCTCAGTGATTACCAAGCCGTGGTTGAGGACAAGGAAATAAGGAAATTCTAAGGGGTTATCTTAGTTCATTTGGGCTGCTGTAACAATACACCTATAAATTGGGTAATTTATAAACAATAGACATTTATTGCTCACAGTTCTGGAGACTTCAGAAGGCCAAGATCAAGGCCTCCGCAGGTGCCAGTAGATTAAATATCTACTGAGGGCTCACTCTGCTTCAGAGGTGACTTCCTCCATGTGTCGTCAGATGGTGCGAGGGTCAAACAAGCTCCCTCCAGCCTTTTAAAGGGACTAATCCAAAGGCCCTATCTCTTAATACCATCACATTAGGAATTAGGTTTCAAAATATGACTTTGACAAGGGGCTGGTGCTGTGGCACAGTGTGTTAAGCCATTGTCTGCAGTGCAGAAAATAGGAATCTGGGGAAGGCAAACATTAAGAACAAGCAGAGTTTCTATCAATAAGATTATTGAGTGTTAAGTTTTGTTACAAAATAAAATTAATTTCTTATGATCTTTTCCTTTTATAGATAAGAAAACTTACGGTGAAATTCTTGAAGAATTCCATCCTGTGCATTGAAATCTTCAAAATGCTTGCTCCAGGTTCATTGATACCTGCTATTTCTGAATTTTATGGAACATATTTCCATAATAGCTGAAGATAATGTTAATCTATATGTTAACACCTCTAATTAAAATAGTTGTGAGTACTCTGCCTCCCTTTTTGTCTTAAAAAAATCAGCTTATCAGAAAATGGTCTGTTTGGGGTGGGCATTGCAGAACAGTGGGTTAGGCTGCCTCCTGTGACACCCACATCCCATATTGGAGTGCTGGTGTGAGTCCTAGCTACTCCACCTATGATCCAACTCCCTGCTTACATGACTGGGAGGCAGCAGATGATGGCCCAGGCGCTTGGGTCCCTGGCACCCATTTGGGAGAGCCAGATTTCCTGGCTCCTGCCTTTATACTGACCTAGCCTATTGCAACCATTTAAGGAGTGAACCAGCAGATGGATGACTGCTCTCCCATGGTCTCTCTGTCTCCCTCTCCCTCCCTCCTCTCTCTGTGTCACTCTGCTTTTCAAGTAAATATGTATTCCAAGAAAAAAAGAAAACACTCAGTTTCCATTTATCCAGGTTTTTTTTTTTTTTTTTTTAAGATTTGTTTATTGGAAAGTCAAAGTTACAGAGATAGAGGAGAGACAGAGAGAGAGAGGTCTTCCATCTGCTGGTTCACTCCCCAAATGGCCATAATGGCAAGAGTTGGGCCAATCCAAAGCCAGAAGCCAAGAGCTTCTCCTTGATCTCCCACATGGCTGCAGGGTCCCACGGATTTTGGCCATCTTCGTTGCTTTCCCAGGCACATTAGCAGGGAGCCGGATTGGAAGAGGAGCATCTGGGACTCCACCTGGTGCCCATATGGGATGCCGGCACTGCAGGCAGCGGCTCTACCCACTATAGCACAGCACCAGCCCCATTTTCCCAGTTTTAAGAAGGCACCTGGGGGCTGGCACTGTGGTGTAGCAGGTGAAGCCTCTGCCTGCAGTACCAGCATCCCATATGGGCACCAGTTCAGATCCTGGCTGCTTCACTTCCAATCCAGCTGTCTGCTAATGGCCTAAGAGAGCAGTGGAAGATGGCCCAGGTCCTTGGGTCCCTGCACCTGAGTGGGAGCCCAGGAGGAGGCTCCTGGCTTCGGACTGGCCCAGCTCTGGCCGTTGCAGCCGTCTTGGGTGTGAACCAGTGGATGGAAGACCTTTCTCTGTGTCTGCCTCTCTTTAACTCTGCTTTTCAAATAAATAAATCTTTAAAAAATAATAATGAAAAAATAAAGACGACATCCGAACAATTTTAAAATGGAATTTACTTGTAGGTTGGTTATGGTTAACTACAGCCTGAGGATCAAGTCTGGCTCACTGCCAATGAAGTTTTATTAGAATACAGCCATGTTCACTTATTTACATGTTGTTTATGGCTGCTTTCAAGATAACAGCAGCAAAGTTGAGTAGGTTATGGTAGACATGTTATGGTCTGAGAATCCTAAAATTGAATCCAGCCCCTTATAGAAAAAGTAAGCATGCTCCCATTCTTGTGCAAAGCAAATACAAAGCCAGATGATGGAGAGTTGTGTGATGCAGAATGACTGCTTCCTAAAGGTTTTGAGAAGTCACCACAGGGATTTTACTGGGTGTAATGTGGTCAGGTTTGTATTTCTGAGTTCTCTGAAACAATATAAATGGTGGTTTGGAAGGAAGAGACTTAACACAGGGAGAACAAAGCTCTGATATAAAGGTCTTTGCTGTTAGGTGGATCATTTTGGAGCAGGTGGGCTCGGAGCTGTCATAGTACATGTGCATACAGAAGTAAAAGACCACACCAGACCAGAATGAGATTGTTCTTTATGGTTATCACCAAAGTCAATGCTTGTAGAGAACGTTTTGGTTTTCAAGCTCTGATTTTGAAATCAAATTCATTTATGGAGATTAATAAAATTGTTTCCTTATACAGGATTTCAAATTGTGTGACAGTGTGAGCCATAGCAATGATTTGTGGGCAAAAACAAATGAATTCTGTCTCTTTTTCTTTTCCTTTTTTAAGATGTATTTATTTATTTATTTATTTGAAAGGCAGAGTGACAGAAGACCACCCACTGGTTCACTCCCCTGGTGGCTGCAACAGCTGAGCTGGGCCAGGCCAAAGCCAGGAGCCAGGAACTCCATTCTAGCCTCCCACATGAGTAGCAGCAGCCCAGATACCTGGGTCATCATCTGCTTCCTTTCCAGGTGGATTAGCAGGAAGCTGGATTGGAAACAGAGTAGCCAGGACTCTAACCAGGCACTGGGGTAGAAGAATGTGGGTATTTCAAGCAGCGGCTTAACCTAGTGTGCCATGACACCTTCCCCAATCTCTGTTCTCTTGATAACTGCTTGTAAAAAGTGAAGTCATGTTAGAGAAAGTGCTTTAAAAATAAAGAGATATACAAATACAAGGACATTTTTTTATTGGTACCACAATAAATAGGTTTATAGTTCACCTGTGCACTTCCACATCAGTAGTCAGCAGGTAGAAGAGGGTGAAACACTCATCCCAAGGGACTCCACTACCTCTTAGTTCTGGAGAGCAAAACGCAAGGGCTAGAGCAAATACATAGGTGAAGGGGGAGAAAAACTCAACCTGTTAGCTCCCACATGCCAGGTGCTTCTCATTCATCATCGTGTGTAATTTTCATAACCTTGTGAGGTAGGTGATATCCCCATTCTACAGATGAGGGAATTTAGGCTCTTAGGGGTTAAATAACTTGCCCAAGGTCCCATAGTGAATGCCAAGAAGAGGATGTGAGCTTTGATCACACACTAACACCTATGCTCTTTACAGTAGTGCCCTAGACAGGTACCTTTGTACCTTTGTTTCCTCCCTCATAGGCCAGTGTCATGGATTGAACAGGATATGGCTCCCCAAATTTGTGTAGACTTTTAAACCCCAAAGTTTTAGGTTAGCAATGAATAGATTAACAGTTCATTGATTAGGGTGGAAACTTGATCCAGTTGTTTCTGAAGGTGGGGCCTTTGGAAAGTGATTGGGTTTTATTAAGTCAATGAGGTGGTGCCCCGTGATCCAATTGTGACGGAATTATGAGAGACCACATGGAGGACAAGATGAGTGCGCTTCTAGTTTCTTTTTCCCAGCTCACCATGTGATTGTCCCTCCACCATCCTCTGGCTTCTTCAGATGCTTGAACCAATCAGGCTACCCATCTTGAACTATGATCCTCCAAACTGTAAGCCAAAGTAAACCTCCTTTCTTAAGAAGCTCCTCTCAGGTATTTTAGTTGCAGTGATGAAAGCAGACACCACCCCAGGCCCATAAGAGGAGCAAGGGAATTACGAATAGCAACATCCTAAGGGTGGGCCAGTGACTGGAGTCCATGAATTAGTGTGCAGAGGGAGGTGGCAGAGTATCTGAGAGATCCAAGTCACCTTCACTTCCTGCTGCAGGCCTAGGCCTTTCTGATCCACCGGCAGGGATAGCAGAGTGCTGCATGTCCTCATCAGAGGTCTGTCTTCTATTGTGTAAGCAGTCTGTGGAGTACAAAAAAATTTGAAAAACCCAGTGAGTATAAAATCAAGCAACTAAGATATATACCTATCAGAGTAGGAAGAAAAGTGAAATAAAAATGTTGGTGTTCTATAAGAACACTTGGCAGTGCTTCAGCCCTTTAAGGAAAATCATAGGTTATTAGAACTGGAATAAGCCATCTTCCATTTTACCAAAAGGGAGACCGAGATGCAGGAAGTAAGTTGTCTGAGTTCATACAGAAGTCAGTGGCAGAGCCAGGACAAGAACCCAGCTGTGTCAGTAATGCAGCCTTCGTGAGCGGTCGTGTTGGGGCGTGTTGGGGCTTTGTGAGGAAGAGTCGCTGCTCTGTTTTTCAAGCTGGTTGGCCAGGGAGTGTCATCTTCCAGTCTCATCTCCAGCCTAGACTGCAGAATTCAAAGGCTCTAGGGACACAAAATATCTGCTAGTGTAGAGGAAAAGGATGAGGCTAAAGTTAGGCCAGGATTCACACATGCCAATTACCTAGGACTCGTTTTAATTCTCAGGTCTCCAGGTTTTTTTAATCTGTAAAAGGAAATGGTAATCATGCTAGTGATTTAAAAATGGTTTATATGCCATTTTTTTTTTACTACTACTGTTAATATTTAATGGAGAAACTGAAACCTAAAGAAGTGAAGTGTCTTATCCAAGGCCTCATAGCTCATTAGTATTGAGCTAGCACAGTTTAATTCAAGAAGAACCTTTGGAAGGCAGCCCAGGAAGCCTCAAGACAATAGGGAAGCAGGGTTGCGGTTGACCGCTGGAGTTTGAGTTGAGAGGAAAAATGGCTGAGAATATACCTAGAGCAGAATTCTCTCTCAGCTTTGTGTCTAGGGGCCACATTTATTCATCACTACAGAGTGGCCTTCAGGCAGATTATGAAAGCAACACCATATGGTAGAGAGTATGACGGAAAGAGTAGCCAGCTCATAGGACCGGTACTGTTTTGTCTCCTTACTATGTGTCTTCCGGTGAGTCACTTCATCTCTCTTGCTTTCATTTCCTTACTAATGAATTGGGAATGCAAATCTTGCCCTACATACCTACATCAGGTGATTTTGAGGTTTTACTGCACATGGATGTGATTTATTCCTAAAGAAGACAGTTGTAAGGAGCAGGGCTGGTAGATGGCTCAGGGTCAAAACCTAATTTCTCCCAATCTGCCCACCCATGACTGAGCTAGGCCTTCTTCCCACCCCCTACCCTTGGCCAACCCTTGCTTGTCTAGCTTGCTATTCCTCACCTTACAACCCCAGCCTTCCCGTGGATGGACATGAGGCTCAGGCTCCAACACACATGTACACACAACGGCTTCTCAACAAGCGAGCCTACACACTTGGATGTGCCTGAACCAGATTAGAGTGCCACGCTGGTGGTATCTTGGCCTTCCACTTGACTGACTGCAACCTAGCATAGCCAGCATAGCACTACCAGGGGTACTGTGAGCAGCCTCACCCATGTGCCTCCATATGCCATGTATATATAATTTTCCATGTTCCATTACTTGAAAAAGTTGTTGGGAAGCACAACCACTCACACGTACAATTCAAAATGTACACTTAAGAAAATACACATGCCTTGATTAAGTTTCTGAATTTTTAAAATGGAAATAAATTCCTTGTAGGATTATTGGGAAGATTAAGTGAATTAAGTGAAGAATAAATGTCAGGCACTTAAAGGCTGTGCTGGCACTCTCTGTTCAAATGAAAGCTATTAATACATGACATCAAGGATTCTTGGGATTTGTAGGAAGGTCTTGGTGGGTGGCATAAGCCCTGAAGTTAGATGGACAGTTCTGTAACTTGAACTCTACAGATTCCATTCCTTTCATCAGAGTCTTAAAGAAGTCAACACATTTGTTCAACAAGTATTCACGTAATTATTAATAAATGCACATGTATACAAGCACATTTGTACATATGAGTTATGCAACCACAGGCCACATTTCCTACTGTCTCCATAACAGTTGACTGCATTACCAGTTCTGGGTCAGAGGATAGTAAGGAAGGCCTGGTCTTGGGCCCTCCCAGGTAGTGATCCCAATTCATGAGGGTCAGTGACAGCCAGGCTGGCTATCTTGCACTGAGTTTTACCAACACTCCCTCTCCGCCCCGTAATGTCCCTTGGTGGACTCTGGCATCCATCAGCATGGCCGCCATTCCATTACCTTCCCTAGAATCCAAGGCCTACTGGACTTGTCCCGTCATTTCCTGGTATTTCCTTGTCACCTCCTGGGCTTTCAGAGTGAGGTGGGTGAGGATATGATGGAGGCTGGAGAAGTGCAGATGGAACTGGGCTTCCAGGTCCAGCTCCCCTGAGATCCTCTCCTCCTCGGCCTCCTCCGTCTCGGCAGCTTCATTCTCAGCCTCATCAGCTTCACTGCCTGCCACCTTGGCCTGCCACTCCTCCCGGGGCAGCAGCCCATGGTCCACATCCACGCGGATGGCCTTGAGCATGGTGAAGTAGGTGTAGAGATCAGGGGTCCCAGCCTGGGCCTGGCCCCCATGCCCACTCAGCTGTACGTCGCGCAGAAGGCTGGGGATCATCACCACTTGCTCCATGTTGTGCACCACTGCTGAATACCGGTCCATGACAGTCAGCAGGCAGTTCTTGGGGTAGCGCTTGGTTAGCACCTGCATGGTTGCTTCCTCTTACAGACTGGAGTTCAGCAGACTGCCCAAGCACTATTTCTAGGCTCTGGAGCTGACGACAGATTGACAGGATGCCAAGGCCCAGCTGTTGGGCCAACACAGCCCCATTTTGAGCCAATCCCAGCGCTTGGGCCCCAACGTCTGTATCAGGTGATTGTCTGCCCAGGGACAGACCTGGCAGCCTCTGCTTGTCATTTCAGTTCAACACAACCGCCTGAGTGAGAGCCCAGATCTTCCTTCAGCAACTTGCAGAGCCAGTTAGTTTTTACCTTTGGCAACTGGGGCATTGATCCCAATGCAATAAATAATCCTTCCAGGTCACTTGAGACAAGCTGCCTCTTATTTATGGATTGATTTTTTTTTTTTTTTTTGACAGGCAGAGTTAGACAGAGACAGAGAGAGAGAGTTATAGACAGTGAGAGAGAGACAGAGGGAAAGGTCTTCTGTTGATTCACTCCCCTAATGGCTGCTGCGGCCGGCGCTGCACTGATCCGAAACCAGGAGCCAGGTGCTTCCTCCTGGTCTCCCGTGCGGGTGCAGGCCAAGCACGTGGGCCGTCCTCCACTGCCTTCCCCGGGCCACAGCAGAGAGCTGGACTGGAGGAAGAGCAACCGGGACTAGAACCTGGGGTGCTGGCGCTGCAGGCAGAGAATTAGCCAAGTGAGCCAAGTGAGAGAGGTCTTCCATCTGCTGGCTCACTCCCCAATTGGCCAAAACGGCCAGAGCTGCACTGATCAGAAGCCAGGAGCCAGGAGCTTCCTCCAGGTCTTCCCACAGAGGCACAAGGGCCCAAGGACTTGGGCCATCTTCCACTGCTTTCCCAGGCCAAAGCAGAGAGCTGGATGGGAAGTGGAGCTGCCGGGACTCAAACTAGCGCCCTTATGGGATTGGCGGCAGCTTCACCTGCTGCGCCACAGCACCAGCCCCAATTATGGATTGATTTTTAAGATTTGTTTATTTGGAAAGAAGAGTTTGAGATGGGGAAAAACAGAGAGAGAAACAGAGATCTTCTATTTGCTGGTACACTCCCCAGCTGGCTGCAGTGGCCAGAGCTGGTCCATGCCCAAGCCAGGAGCCTGAAACTCCATCTGGGTCTCCCATGTGGGTTACAGGGGCCCAAGACTTTTTCCCATCCTCCACTGCTCTTCCAGGCACATTAGCAAGGAGCTGGATCACAAGTGAAGCAGCAGTGGCTCCAACCAGTGCTCATGGGGGATGCCAGTGTCATAGGTGGTGACTTAATCCACTGCACCACAAGGCTGGCCCCTTGGGATAGTCTCTTCAGGCATGCCCAATTCTTCCATCCAGGGCACCCCAGCTAGGAACAAATGAGGGAAAAGGGACAACACCTTGGTGCGGGGCAAAGAGCACTGAAGTGGGGCTAGAAGCTTAGTCAGGAGGGGTTGTGCTGTGCTCACTGTCTTCGTTATAAGGGGTGCTTGTCCTCTACCAAGTACAGAATGCACTAGCCCAAGATTACCTCAATCAGCAGGGTGAAGAATCTGCATAAAATTACTTATGAGTGGGAAAGAGCAATTTTTCCCAATGAATACATTCATTTAAAGAATTACTTAAGTAAACATTTGATTAATTCATTTCCAACCCTATAATATTTTTGTTTGATTTTTGTGAGAGAAAAAAATTCTTCAAATGTTTTCTCCTCAAGAAAATGGGAGGCACCGGCGCTGCGGCTCACTAGGCTAATCCTCTGCCTTGCGGCGCCAGCACACCGGGTTCTAGTCCCAGTCGGGGTAACGGATTCTGTCCCGGTTGCCCCTCTTCCAGGCCAGCTCTCTGCTGTGGCCAGGGAGTACAGTGGAGGATGGCCCAAGTGCTTGGGCCCTGCACCCCATGGGAGACCAGGAGAAGTACCTGGCTCCTGCCTTCGGATCAGCGCAGTGCACCGGCCGCAGCGGCCATTGGAGGGTGAACCAATGGAAAAAGGAAGACCTTTCTCTCTGTCTCTCTCTCTCACTGTCCACTCTGCCTGTCAAAAAAAAAAAAAAAAAAAAAGGAAAGAAAGAAAATGGGAGGCTCCCTTGTGCTCAGACTTTCAGGGTCACTGAGCAGTGGGTGCAGCCAAGACTGATTTGGGCTCTGGAGCTGCCTGCAGCCCACCTGTGACCAGGCTCCTGGACTCCAACATCTGTGTGGTAAGGCGAGAGCCTGGAGGCCTCTGCAGGGAAGGCCCTTGTAGCCCGGGTTGTGTAACGCCTGACGCACATCCGAGTCCCTGGGGGCATTACTCTCTGCCTTAGTTCTTGTGTTTTTAACCCAGCTCCAGGGTCACTGACTCAAAACTGACAAACATGATGTTCTGCTTGCATACGGCTGGGAGAGCTGGCTCTGGCACAGAGGGCACAGCAGGAGTGCCCTGGGAGCAGCTTGCCTCTAGCCTCTTTTGCCCAGTGTCCTGAGGCAGCCTCGGGCCTCCCCAGGCCCCAGTTGCCTCATCTAGATAACCAAGAGGGCTGATCTTTGTTAAGGCCTCTCCAGGTCAGACCCTGGGTGACGCCTGAGCACATGGCCCTGGTGCCTCACATTTTAAGGCCATCAGAGGCCAACCTATTCCCAGACATGTTCCTGGGCCTGAATCAGAGGGAATGAGAGAGGAGTTGAATATGCTTATGAAGAATGAAGGAAGGAGTCATCGGGTAAACAAACGAGTGAACGAGTGCAGAAGGCATGAGGAGCGTCCACCTGACACCTGAGCATGCTCACAGCCAGCAGCTTGCACATACAGACTGCCGCCAGGTCTCATGGCAGACAGCAGGCCCTGGATAAAATGTTGCCTGCCATGTGTCATGGGAGAAGACAGTAGGCCTCAGAGGTCGGTGGACTCAGGTTCTAGCAGTGGGGAGAGAAAGGAGGCAGCAAAAGGAAAACACAGGATTTTTTTTTTTTTTTAGTGGATGTAGCAGATCTGTGGTTCCACAGGGACCCAGTTGTCCTGCTCTCAAAGCTACCACATCCCAGGGAAAACGGGTTACCTGGTCTAGCTGGGTTACTGCAGGGAAAGTCCCAGCAAAGAAGGGAAGAGAAGTAGCAGACACTGCACTAGACCCCGAACTCTATTTGGTTTCCCAGTGTGCCCTTCCTGGGGGGTTTAGGGGGGGACAGGGTGCATTCTTTCTGAAATGGCAATGCCCTCATCCTGTGAGTACCTGAATGCCCCCAGCTGGACGGATTGAACTGGCCGCAGAGGCACCAGGGTCAAGGCCCTCCAGGAACAATGTGAATGTGGTGCAAGGGTAAGGTGATCAGATGGTGGCTGGAGCTGCCAGACACCAAGTAACCCTGGCTGTGCTGGAGCCAGGTAGCTACAGAAGGACCTGGACCAAGGCTGGGACAAGTTTTCCAGTTGAAAAAATGATCTGGCCTAGGAAAGCAATAGAAGATTGTCGCTCCCCCTCTTCGTGGAGGAACGACACAGGACCCTGCGCTGTTCTTTCGTCTGCTCGGCCTTCCCCGGGTTTGCTGCTGGTTTTTCCCGGGTTGGCTACTATCCCTTCCACCTCCGTGGAAGGGCAGTTCCCCCTGGCCGCATTCCCCACTTCCGCAGGGGAGCGGCACACCGCCGGCCGGCTTTCTCGGGGGCTGCACGGGTTCCCTTAGATGTTCCCCATAGATGTTCCCGGTGCATGCCGTCTCTCTCCTCCTTTATAGTCCTCCTCCGCCAATCCCAACTCGGCTGCCCACACGCCGAGTACGCTGCTCTCCAATCAGGAGCAAGTCCTACAGTTAATTGGTTGAACTGGAGGCAGCTGTGCGGAAGCTGTTTACTTCTCTCCCAGCGCCATATTGTGGGAGAGCAGATGCATAGAATAAGTCCTAATTCGAGTAACTTAGTCTAGTCCGGATTGCTCCCCACAGATCCCCCTTTCTTTTTATTTTTTAGCGTTGATACGCGCCTGTCTTCGGTGTCCCGCGGCACACACTCTGCTCTACTTGCTAGAGTTGCCACAGGCTCTTACAAGTCCTATCAGGCAAACCGAATCCGGGTCCTCTCTTCGCCATGTTGTGAGGAGGTTTTTAGGCGCTGATGCGTGCCTGTGTTCGGTGCCCTGCAGCGCATGCTCTGCTCTGCTAGAACTGCCTGCAGGTGTTTACAAAACCTATCAGGCAAACCGAATCCAAGCCTTCTCATTGCCTTATTGTGGGGGAGACTTATTAGTGTTGGTTCGTGCCTATCTTCGGTGACCTGCAGCTCATACTCTGGTCTAGCTGCTTGCTGGCGCTTACCGCCTTAATCAGGCAGACCGAATCCAAGCTTTCTCGTTGTATTGTGGGGAAGCCTTACTGATGTTAATTCGTGCCTGTCTTCGGTGACCTGCGGCGCATAAGCTGCTAGCCGCCCAGGTGCTCATCGCCTCACTTGATTAGACAGACCGAATCCAAGCTCTCACATTGCAGTGTTGTAGGGGGGCCTTTTTATTTCTCTATTTCTCTATCTCCGGGCATTCCTATTTCTCCCATTTTACTTCTATCTTCCAGCATTCCTATTTTTCTCACTTTACTTCTAAACTTCTGTTTCTCTTATCCCTGCGGCTTTCCGGCACCTCGCCCCGCCGGCGGGTACCCGGCTCTGCGCCGCTTCAGCCCGCGCGCCTCTCTCATCTGCGCAGCTTCCCGGCTTTGCGCGGCTTGGCTTCGCGCGCTCCGTGGTCTCCACGCTTAACCCTTTCGCATCTGAACCACGGCCTACACCAGCCCCGTTCCCTATCTATTCACGCCCCGTGCTCTCTCTGCACGCGGCGGCTTCCGCGAGTAACACAGCGTAGCTTACGTGTCCGCCACTAGCATTCAATCTAAGTTCCCCGGGCTAGCCTGGCGAATTCAACCCAGCGTACGTCTCCGCCCCACGGTTTGGCTTCCCGTCCTTTGCTCCCCGGGCTAATCAGACGGATCCCAACCTGGCTCACGTTTCAGCTTCTGGTTTCAACTTTTCGCCCCCTATTCCCGGGCTAACTTGAGAACCCCAAAGTGGCTTTCGTGTCCGCCTCGGCCTGCCCCCCGCGGCTTCAATTTCCCTAACATTTTTCTCTACCCGGTATGTTTCCCCAAGCTTTCCTCCAACGATATTCCTCCCTCATTTCTC